TTTTTTTTTTTTTTTTTTTTTGGTACCGGGGATTGAACTCCGGTCCTTGTGCTTGCGAGGCAGGCCATGGAACCGCTGAGCTAAATCCCCGGCCCTATGGGATACAGTTTCTTTGGCTGTAAAGTAAAGGAAGTTGGACCATAGCAGGGGAGGCAGAGCCTCGGACCAGCCATTATCCGGGGTATTTGCTGCAGTTTAAGACCAGCCCTGGGTCCTCATATTGACCCAAGGGATATTTTTCTCCTGGGAGAAACAGCAATGACCATAGAAGGTTTGATAGCTTTGGGGGAGAGGGGGTTGGCTGAGGCTCCAGTGCCCAAGAGGATCCCCACACTGGGAGCCTAAGGCTTGGGCCCCAAAATTTAGGGTTGTGGGGATACTGAGGTCCCTGGAAGTTGTATGTACCAGCTGAACAATAGGTGGAGGAGGCTGGACAAGGGCCCTTTGTATCTCCCAAGCAGAGGACCCAAGGAACTGCAGAGGAGGCTCAGCCACACAACACTGTGTCCATCCTGCTCTTACATGTAGTTGGCTGATCTAGAGCTTGCGGGAACCTGGGCAAGCTCCTTGGGCATAGAAGAGGCTTGATCTACATTTATCTAGACCCTGAACCATCCTAAGAACCAGTGGATAGAACCGGGAGGTGTGTGAATGTGATTGGCTTCATTTCAAAAAAAAAAAAAAAAGATCCTAAAAAGTACTGGAACTGGACCAAATCCTCTCAGTCAATGCTGAAGCTGAGTCCAAACATGCACTCTTGACTCCTAGACCAGAAATGGGGCAAGGGCACTCATTCATTCATCCAATCTGCACATCCAGGCGTTGAGGACCTCTGGGGAACTCTGGGATACAGTAGGGAGAAGACAGACCTGTCTTGGTCCTCCTGAGCTCACAGAGTAAGAAAGGGACATAAACAAGGTCTGTGACTTACAGAAGGCAAGCAGACTGGAATGGAAAGCAGAGAAGAAAAGAAAAAGTAGAAGAAGCTCAAGATGATGAGAAGCCAGGAAAAATGGGGAGTTCAGGGACCTACAGGTGAGATGAAAGAAGGAAAGAGGAGCGTAGAGGAGTCTCCTTTCACCCCCTCAGGAGCTGGAGGGTGGCAGGAGCCTGAGTGCCAGCCTGCACTGGCGTTCTCAGCTTAGTACCCTAAGCTGGTCTCTCCAAGGCAAGCCAGGCTGGGCCGGACTCAGAACAGAGGCTGCGAGTTGGCACAAAGGTCCCAAGGTGGGCAGCAACGGGAGCCATGCCGGCATAGGCAAACCTTGTAAAAGGTGGGCGTCTCGCAAACACGCTCCGGGCTCCAGAGAGGCGCGAGTCTTGTGCGCGCCCAGGCTACGGGACGGTCGCCGCGCACTCCTCCCCACTCCGCTCGCAGCGGCGCCGTCCTAGAGTGGGTGGCAGGGTGACTAGTAACTATCGAGGCGGGTGGGGGGCGGTGCCAGGGTCTGTCCATAGGCAAACCTTGTAAAAGGTGGGCGTCTCGCAAACACGCTCCGGGCTCCAGAGAGGCGCGAGTCTTGTGCGCGCCCAGGCTACGGGACGGTCGCCGCGCACTCCTCCCCACTCCGCTCGCAGCGGCGCCGTCCTAGAGTGGGTGGCAGGGTGACTAGTAACTATCGAGGCGGGTGGGGGGCGGTGCCAGGGTCTGTCTCCAGAAGGGCGGGCTGCCTGGAAGAGACCGGACACTCAGAGAGGTCGGCGGGCGCGGCCTGGGGAGGCGGCTGGTCCGACTGGCTCGAGTGCCGACTCAGCTGTGGGCAGGGAGAGCGCAGTGTGCTTGTGGCTGTCTCCCTGGGGCGCGGATCCGAGCCGGGGTGCAGCGCATAGCTGGACAGAGTAAGCACGCTACGGATCCGTGTTGAATTTGGTCTTCCCTGGAGCGTAGTCTGGGTGAGTGAGGACGGGTGCCCTGCTTGTAGGGTGTGTGTATGCCGCATGTTGGGGAAATCAGTGTGTTAGTGGGTGAGTGCACGCGCCCTGAGTAGTAAGAAGCTGAATTTACGGAACTTGCCTTTGTGTGTGCTCTGGTATGGGCGCCCCTGGGGCGTGAGGCCGTGGTCTGAGATCTGAGAGCTCCCAGAGACCTGCGGCACTCCTAACTTGCCCCGAGGGTCACTCAGGTGGCCGGCCCTCCAGTCCTGGGCAACAGTAAGACTAGAAAGGCAGGAGCATAGGACAGTTAAGACTTTAATCTGTCGCGAGACTTTTAATCTAGCAGATGATACTGTAGGAAGGGTAAATTAGGAGAAAGAGTGCCCCCACACCATGCTGCCAGTGCCAGGCTTGGAGCCCCTCAGGAGGCAGGCCCAAATGCCAGACCCTGCTGGAAACTAGCGCTGCAAGTGGGATTTATGGGACCAGGTGACTGCCTTTCCTCTCAGCATGGCATCCCCAGCTTGCCTGGGTCCACAGCCTCGTTTGGGATCTAAACTAGAATAATGAGCTTTTGAGGGTCAAGCTGGGGCCTCGGGGAAGTCTCAGTTATCTGTGGGGTGGAAATGGGAGAAAGGAGATTCTTTGAGCAGCCAGCCTGTAAAAGGAAGCCAGCACCTGCAAGTGAGAGGAAGACCTGTCACTTTTCCTCTCCTCCCTGCCTTGGGCTGTCCTAAAGTACCAAATAGGAGCTGGGATGTGTGTGTGGGCATGGTAAGCAACCTCCAGAAATGGCTGCTGTGCTTGGCCTGCAGAATGAGGCTGTGGCCTCTCCATGCCTGTCCTCCTCTTGCCCAAGACGTACAGGGCTCAGAGGCTTCCAAATCCCCCAAGGATCTGTGAGTATGAGGGTATCCCCCAAGGCCTCATAAATGACCCATAAAAGTGTTGATTTTTGTGGCTTTAAATCTTAGGACATTGTGCCTCCCTAGGTATTAATTTTGAGAATGATGATATCTTTGCCTGTTCAAATGCAAGGTTGCTTATAAGGATTCTTACAGAAATCAGAAAAGGGCCTGGTGTGTGTGTGTGTGTGTGTGTGTGTGTGTGTGTGTGTGTGTGTGTGTGTGTTGGTGGAGTGGGGGAGATGGGTGCCCACAGTGGATAATAGAAACAGTGCTCTAAATCTTGACCCTGGCTGTCAACAGGCTGGATGCAACCACAACACGGGTGGAGAGGAAATAAGTGACTAAAGCAAGTTTGACCTCAGACCTACCCCTGGCAGCCTCCCTCCCAACCCAGGGCATGTCCTCCCTCTACCATTGAGCCACATTCCCAGCCCAGTAAAGAAAGGGTTTTGTGAGTGAAGTATGATGCACAGGGAAGTGTAATATTCCATAGATTTAAATGTCCTTTGAAGATTCTAATAGGACACAGGTGCAATAGTGAAGGATTGTGCTGTTTATTGGAATTTAATTATTGGATGTCTTCCTCTCCCTATCCCTCCTCTGCAGAGGTAGCTTACTACTAACAATTTACAAAAATCCCTCATTTTATCCTCCAATGACCTGGTGAGGAAAGAATCCTTATCTCCGTTTTGCAGATAAGTAAATAGGTGCTCTGAGAGTATCTTGCTCAAAGTCCCAAAGCTCCAGGGAAACCTGGAGTCGTGCTTACCTGCCCTTCCTGTCTGAGACAGAAGACCCATCTTGTGAGGCGAATCCTCTGGCTTCCAGGCTGAAGGGTTTTTGAGTTTTGCCCTAGGAACCTGTCTTTGGGGCTTTCTTGTGGCCCTGTTACCCAGCTACTGCTAAGAGGACACCTGCCCAGGCCTGTTTATAGAACCAAGAAGACTTGCTGACCTGGGGAGGGGAGGAGGAGGTAATCCTGATGAAATCTTCCGTCTCTTCTAACTGCCTCCCGAAGGCCTGTCTGGTGCACCCTTCAGCCTACAACTTCCTCTGGGGCTGTCCTTAGGTCCTCAGATCTGCCCTTTCCCTGCTGTGGGGAAGCTGGCTGTGGGGCCCTCCTTGACCTCTATACCTACCCTAGAGAAAGGCCAGTTCAGAATGAGATCAAGCCATCTCTGCTTTCTCACGTTATCCCCGTTACCTGGCACAGGTTGGTCATAGCAGGTGGCAGGGAGTGTTTGATAAATGAGTGATCACGTGCAATGGCCTTGCTCTATGAAAGCATCAGAGGGTTCCTGAGCAAAGGAGTGCTCCCGCTGCACTGTCACAAAGTCTCTGAGGCCTGAGTATTCTTGGCCTGGAATGAATAGCAGAAGTCTCTGATAGGAAGGTGGGCACCCTGGGCTCTGGTACCCTGTTACCTGTCCTTGAAGCTCCCTAAAGGAGAGGCCGGGGCATGGAGGGCCTCTTTCAGACTTATACTGATGTGGCTTCCTGGTGAGTGCCCAGCCTCCCTGTCCAGTTTATAAGTGGAAGATTCTTCCCATGGCTGGACTGTGGGGATAGAGGGACGCACCCCACCTCATAGGGAGTCTAGAACCAAGTGACAGCTCTTCTTACCACATCTTTGTATGTGTGGTCTCTTCCTTTGTCTCCCTCCCTCCAGCCTCCCCCATCCTAGACAACTTCCATGTGACACCATGTTTGTAAAGGTCAATGCTGACCGTGTCCTTCTCTTCTTAAGCCTTAATAGGGCCAAGCTTCTCAGCCTGGCATATGAGCTCTTTCATATGAGTTCCTCTGTCCCTGACGCATTCCGTGCTCCTAACCTCCCATGCCAGCTGCACATGACCTCCTGGCCTTTCCCAGAAGGCAGCATTCACACCCCCTGAGTCTTGGCACTTGCCTGTCTTCAATGCTCTCCCACCTCTTGTTCACCTAACAAACCCCTAATCACCCACCAAGTCTCATCTTCTCTGGGAAGCTCTCTGGCCACCTTCCCCAGGCTAGGTAGGAGTTGCTGTGGCTCTGTGGCCCTTGGGTTCTCTTGATGCAGCCTAATCACCCAAGTAGACTCTATCCATATCTGTGAAGTTGGGTCACAAGAACATCGGCAAGTGTTTGTTGGGACTTCATAGCTTCTAGGAATGTGACTTATGACTGTGTTAATGCTAAATGCAGACTTCTGTGGTTCTGAGAATCCCAAACCAAAGGGAATCAGAATCATGAACAGCAAAATGAAGGAAGTCAGTGCTCCCTCCCAGAACCTGGCCCTCTTGGAACTGGATGCTGAGAATCAATGAATTTGAAAGGCTGAGAGGGGCATAATCTCAGTTTTGCAGACTTGTATATCTTCTGTTCTTTGCTTTTGCCCCCTTTTCCATCTGGCTTCTTTCATTTTTCCCTTACCTCCCAAGCCAGACCCTTTGTGGTCCTCCTCAAATCAGATATAGCTTCCCTTCCAGGAGTCTCCCTGACTGCTAAGACTGTGGCATCTGCCCCTCTGTTGGGAACACTTGGGAGGGCCCCTACTAAGGATGGTGAGCTCCTAGAGTTTAGCGTCTCTCTGTTGTGACGGACATATGCAGCCACCACATCAGGACAGTGTATGATTTGCTAATACCACGGAGTACCCACCTGCCCCTTTGTATTTCTCATTCCTCATGAGCTGTCCTATAGGGTAGTGATTCTCCCTATTTGACCAGTGAAGAACCCAAGGATCAGGGAAGGGTCTGATTTGACCAAGACTGCACAGACTGGGTCGTTCCAAGATGTAGCATAAACCCAGATTTTTTTTGGCCTCTGGCCTGGCTGGAGGCATTCCCATGTGATAGGTTGGGGTGGAGACCAGGGTTCTGAGCCTGTTGAATTCAGTAGATGACTCTGTAGCCCTGTGCAGGGGCTGGGCTGGGCTAGGCCAGCATCCAGTGGGAAGGGTGTTTTGAAGTCCTGCCTTGGTTGAGTTTCCTGATCTGAGACCTACCCAGTCAGATGCTCTAACTTCAGCCTCAATGAGTAGCCCTCGAAGCCAGAGAGGGAGTCCCAAGCGGGAAAGAACCTGGCAAGAGGGTGAGAGAGCCCAGGGATCTCCAGGAGGGGAAGAATCATGCCAACATTTGATAGCAGCTGAGGCAACGTCTGAGGTCACGCCTGAGCTGTTTGCCCAGGCCAGTCGTCGTGCTCTTGGTACAACATGTCAGGCAAGGCTGGGGGGTCTGTTGGTCTTCAGGCCTTGAAGGATGTTTGGGTGAGAATGGGGGGCTACTTCTAAGCTCCTGATCCTAAGCAGCCCACCTACTGTCCACTGCTCTCAAACCACAGGGGTGATTAACCATCCTGTTGCCTTTTTTCTGGCTTTTGCTTGCTTTCCTCCTCCTTTCTCTTCTCCCCCCACCCCGTGATTCCCCCACCCATTGTGCAAAATGCAAATCAGCAGCTCCACACAAGGAAGGTAAGCATTACGTATTGCAAGCACATACTAATAAAAATAAATAAATAACAGGAAAAAATGAAAACCACTAGCCGTAGTAGTACGTGATTATAGTTTCCACTATTGGAAGGCTGAAGCAGGAAGATTACTTAAACCCAAGAGTTTGAGACCAGCCTGGACAATATAGCAAGACCCCATCTCAAAGCAAAAACAAAATCAGCAAAGAGATATGAAAAACTCACATAATGAAACTATAAAAATGTACTAAAATTGAGGGAGAAGTAAGCCCTGTTCCTGGATGGAAAAGCCAAATTCTCTAAAAATTGCAGTGACTTCTGCAATCAGCCAATAAAAACAAATCACTTATGCTCACAATTCTAATTTTTTTAGTTTATTAGAACATTTTAGGTATACAATACAATTACATTCATCATTGGGATCTTGCACCTTTACATGACTTATCTTGGTTCTTATTTTTCCCCATTCCCCTGCCCTCCCTTCACCCCCTCCACCCTTCCGTTTACAAAGATATTGTTTCCATGATTTTCCTTTTCTCATATTTTTTCCTTTGCCTTCTTACTTTTCCCCACCCTTCCCACTTCCCCTACTCTTTTAGACCTTTTCTTCCTATTACACAATGTCAATTATACATTTTGATCCTTATTTACAGTTTTAGTTTCCATACCAGAGAAATTATTTGGTATTTACACAAGTGTGTCTTATTAATTTCACTTGAGAGTATGGCTTCAATGTGCATCCACTTAGCTATAAATATCTCTAGTTTTGCATTCTTTATGTCTGAGTAATACTCCTTTTTGTTTTGGTACCGGGGATTGAACTCAGGTCCTTGCGCTTGCAAGGCAGGCTACCAAACCGCTGAGCTAAATCCCTGGCCCCTCCATTTTATTTTTTAAAAACCACATCTTTATCCAATCTCCAGTTGATGGGCAATTAGGCTATTTCCAAGTTTTATTTATTACAAAATGCTGCTATAAACATGTGTATATGTTTATATATACTGTGGTATATCACTGTGGTATGATTCTTTTAATTATTTTGGGAAAATACCCAGCCGAGGAATAGCTGGGTCAAATGGGACCTCTAATTCTAGCTGTTTGAGGCATCTCCATATTGATTTCCACAGTGGTTGCACCAGTCTGCACTCCCACCAACAATGAAAAAAGGTTCCTTTCTCCCCATAACTCCACCAACATTTGTTATTGGTTGATTTCTTGATAGCAGCCGTTCTTTCTGGGTTGAGGTGGAATCTCAGTGTTGTTTTCATCTGCATCTCTCAAATAACCAGTGATGTGAAACATTTTTTCTGTGTTTATTTGCTGCTTTTACTTTTGTCTGAGAAATGTCTGTTCATTACAAAGGCTTTTCAGGAATATCTCATATTTATTTGTTTTTGTTTTTTGGGGGGTGGTTGTTTTTGTTTTGGGGTTTGTTTTTTTTTTTTTGGTACCGGGGATCGAACTCTGGACTTTGTTCTTGAGAGGCAGGCGGTGGAACCACTGAGCTAAATCCCTAAATCACATTTTAAAAGAAAAAAATGAAAGCCAAGGGTGGTGGTACACATCTGTAATCACAGCATTCTGGAAGTGGAGGCAGGAGGAGTGCCTTCTGGGCCACACAGTGAGTTCAGAACCAGCATGAATTATATAGGGAGAGCTCATCTCGAAAAGCCAAAAGGGGTGGGGACAGAGAGAGAAATGAGGAACACTCTCCCACTAGCTATCAGTCCGTATTCTAGAATTAAACACATTAAACCAACATGGTACAATTATAATAACACTAAAGGAGTTGCAAATGAGAAGGGGAACAAGAGGTGGAGTAAGGAACAGGAGGAGAGGAAGAGGAAGTAAAAAGAATTAGGGTGTGCTGTATACATGCACCAACTCCCCACGAATAACAGAATCATGTACTGCAAACATGTAATAATTTCAAAAAATTAAACAAACAGAAGCCCCAAAATGCTAGTCAGGTGTCCTTTCCTCTAAAAAGCCTTCCCTGGCTACCCATTCATTCTGGCTAGGGACTTCTGTGGTGACCTTCAGGACTGATCACTCTGAGGTTTTGTCTCTGGTGTGCCTTCTCCACCTTGACAATGACTATCTTGGAATCAGGAAGAGTCTGACCTCAGAGTCCCCAGACACCCTGTACAAGGACAGGCATAGGTATAGCCACATCTATGAAGGTAAGAAGAATGCAAGGTGAAGGGGTTTCTGGCTCCTGCTAGGGTCCCTGGACTGCTTCTCCTTGAGGATGGCCCTCAAAATGAGAAACTTGACCTGTGGTCAGTTGCTATGGCCTTGCCACTTATAGCCCTGCCCATAATTTCTGTGGGACTCCTTGTCCCTTCTTGTCTTCCTGGGATACTCCCCCTTTTTCCTTCCTTCCCCGTATGTTTATCTCTTATTATTTCATAAAATGAGCCTATATCAGGTTGGGGTATAGCTTAATAGTAGAGTGCTTGCCCAGCATGCAGAAGGCCCTGCATTTGATCCCCAGCATAGTAAAAACAAAGTCATATCCATCTCATATGACTATCTCAACCTCATGGGACAGGTTCCATTATTCTATTAAGAAATTGAAATTTTGATTTTGGAATTGAGACTTGTCCAGTTCCTACTGGGAATGGCAGAACTGGGATTTCTGTTTGCCCTTGTGGCATCCTCCCCTGGCAGAGACAGGCAGCAGGGGTCTCCAGGATGGTGACAGGACAGGGCCACCAGCCAGGCAGGCAGCACATTCCAGAACCACTGCAGTGGGAGGACTTGGAATATTGTCATACTGCCATGGACATTCCTAAGCCAGCCTGGGAACTGCCCTGGCTCCTTCTCCTGGCTTTGGGTTTAGTAGCCTGAGGCTACACAGAGAAAGACCCATACTGGTGGTTTACAGGCAAGGTTTGGTTCTGCCTTTGACTCTCTGGTGATCTTGGTAAGACCTTGAGCTATTTACCCCTTTCTGGCCTTAGTTTTTCTACTTGAGAAATGGGTATAATAACCATCCCCACCACTTAAAACTGGGGAGGTACTAGGCTGGGGATTTAGCTCAGTGGTTCCTCCGACTGCCATGCAGGGGCAAGGTCCCAAGTTTGATCCCGTACCAAAAAACAAAAACAAAAACAAAAATACTGGAGAGGTACTGAGAAAAGTAAATACTGGTTCCTGCTTGTCAGTTGCTCCTCTGCTGGACACTTGATCAGAGAAGCGTGGGTATGGGGGGTAAAGAGATAGTCAGAGAGCTTCCTGGGAACAGGGCCTGGGCCTGGCAGGATAGGAAGTAGTGGTCAAGGGCACAGCTTCTGAAGTCAAACCAGAGCTCCTTGCCGTTTGCTAGCCTTGAGACCCTGGAGAAGTTATTTAGCCTCTGAGTCTCCGGATTAAATGGGAAAAGGTATATAAACTTGGCACAGAGACAGCACCCAACTCTTGTTGTGATATAGATGTTACAAGATGGGAAGCTGCTGGACATGGTAGCACAGGCCTGTAACCACAGGACTCAGAAGGCAGAGGCAGGAGAATCACTGTGAACGTGAGGCCAGCCTGGGCTACATAGTAAGTTCAAAGCCAGCCTGAACTACATAGTGAGACTCTATCTAAAATAAGGGAAACTGCCCCTGGGTAAGATATGACCATGTATGTGGCTTATGTGCAGTGAGATGGGAAAACAAAGGTGGAAGTGTGTTTCCTGGAGCAGTGGCAGAGACCAGGTCAGCTAGGCCCTTCAGTGTGCTTGGATATTAACATGATCACCCCAGGGAGCTGTGGAAGGATTTGGAGCTCCCCAGAGTGTGATCAGATTTAGTGACTGCAGTGTGCAGGGTAGACAGGTGCAAAGGGAGGGGCAGAGACAGAATAGCGTGACTCCAGGGTGGAGTGCAGCTGAGGAACTTCACTGGTAGTTCTGCAGGGACTTGGTGGGTGATGGGTTTCTGCAGGGTGCGGTGAGGGAGAGGGGCTGCAACCTGTAAGGATGGTGGAGGTCCTTCTCAGAAAAGAGAGACTGAATTTGAGGAAGTGACAGTTCCCCCTCGCCTGCGACGAGAGAGTGCCTGGCAGAGCGGGGTGAGAAGGTGATGCTTTTCACCTTGTCACTGGACTCTAGAGTAGACAGGCAGATAGCAAACAGCCTGCTGGCCCAGTCAGCCTGAAGCAGGTGGGCAAGGTGTGACAATGGTGGAGGTCCTTCTCAGAAAAGAGAGACTGAATTTGAGGAAGTGACAGTTCCCCCTCGCCTGCGACGAGAGAGTGCCTGGCAGAGCGGGGTGAGAAGGTGATGCTTTTCACCTTGTCACTGGACTCTAGAGTAGACAGGCAGATAGCAAACAGCCTGCTGGCCCAGTCAGCCTGAAGCAGGTGGGCAAGGTGTGACAGAGATACACAAAGTACACAGTGACCGGAAGCACTTCCCAAGCCCCATCCTGCCTGGCCCTGTTCCTGCAGCCTCCACCCCCTTGCACTTATGGACCCAGCCTCAGCTGTCCCAGATCCCATTCCTCTGTTCTAGGGAAATGAAAATGAGAAAAGCTCCTTCCAGAAAGAGACCTTCTTTTTCCCCATCCTGTGCCCGAGGTCCTGGTGGGCTGGACCTGCCAGTGCAGTGGGTCCCCTGCCATTTCCTCACTGAAACCCTTTGTGTGACGCATGTGAGGGACTCACCGGTGAGACAAAAACCAGGGCTGGAGTAAAGAAAGCTGGGTTCTAATCCTGGCTCTGTCTTGGAGTCCTTGTGAAGCCTTGGGCCTCAGTTTGCTCCTCTGTTAAGTGGGGATTTGGCACAGATGATTTCCAAAGACTGTTTTGGACCTAACTGTCTAGAACAGCGATGGGGAACCTTTTAGAGCTTTCAGTAATACAAACAGCCTGCTGTGGCACGAGTGCCGTAGGTTCACCACCACTGGTCTAGACAATGCCGGTGTGCATGCTTCATGTGCATCTGAGCATGCTAGGTGTGTCTGTGCCTGTGTGTGTTTAGGTGTGGTGTGTGTGTGTTTATATCACCTGTGGCAGAATTCCAATGCCCAGGAGTAGAAGTGGCGAGGAGGGAGGCTCCGGATAGAGACCTGACTTGGGCAGAAGTACTATAGAATATGTGCTGAGCATGGAGGATATTGGCAAGTTTCCTGCTGTGCGGCTAAAGTGCAGTACCAGGACCGTGGGAGGAGACACTGGAGGCTGGGTCTACCCTGCAGGATATGGGGGAGATCTTCCCCTACACAGCTGCCTCCTGTGAAGGGGGTTGCCTGGGAAGGAGCTGGGAGCACCTCATCCCTGGAGCACGTGAGCTGGTAGTAGAACGTCAGGACAGGGGTGTAGGTGTGCAGAGGGCACTCTGACCAGGACAAGCACATGAAGTGACCTCTCTGCTTTTTTGGAGCCAAGGTTAGAACAGAGAAGGCAGCCCTGGGAGGGCTTGGCCGAGACGACTTACTGCACCCAGGAGCCACCCAGGTTACCATCTCCACCTCCCTGTGTTTGCAGGAGCCCCCTTTGGCAGCTGCCAGCCCTGAAAAATGCTGGAGGCTGGGCGTGGCCCGGTCCAGGGAACTTGTTTTTCCTGTTTCCCCGAAGAGCTCCCTGCTGGCCGTCCAGATGCACATTCATGAGTGAGGAACCTGAGCCTGCTGAGCATCCAACCCAGAGACCAGGGGCTGGTCAGGTACAGGTGGTGTGCGAGGTGGGCGGGCCCATGGGCTGGGAGGCTGGGCAGGTTAGCTGGGATTAGCTTGGGGGAATTCTAAGGCAGTACCTTTCCCTGCTTTTTTATCCCAGGGTACAAGGAATTAGGGCTTTGGAGCCAGACAGTGCTGCAGCACTGGTTATCCTACCCGGTTTTTCCAATTCTTGGCAGTGTGACTTAGAACAAATAGCTTAATTAACCTCTCTGGCAGTATCTACCAAAGGGTGTGGTGGGGGCTGCCTGGAGCTGCTCAACCTGGGCCTGAACAGGAAGTGTAGGAGCAGGGACCCTAGAATGGGGAACACCTGATCAGACTGGAACCAGAGATGGGCAGATAAGAGCATGTGGGCTGGCCTCTGACAGCTGACCCACCTCTGGAATTCGTACACCTGACTCCTTTGGTGTTTCCCTGACCCATCTGGGCTCCTGCAGCTGTTGAGGGAGACAGTCTAGGTGTCCATCTGGGGTAGGAGAAGGCCCCAAGTAAGCCAGGCTTCCAGAAGGGCCAGGCTACTCATAGCCATCTAGACTCAGCAGCTGAGAAATCTCTAAGCACCATTGTCCTCCTATAGGCTGTCCAAGAAGGGAGGGAAAGGAGGGGTACCTTCAGCTCCTCTGGGCTCCCACAGCCTCTTATACTTGCTTCATTCATTTTCTGTGTCCTGTACTCACTGCTGTGGGACCGGCCTCTTGCTAGGTGAAAGGGACAGAGAAAATCATTTGATGGAGCCAGCCCTCAAGGAGCTCCTAGGACACACTGGGGTGAAAGGACAAATTACCAGCAAGGCCTGAGGATAGCCTGAAGAAGGCTATGATAAGTGACCTGGTGATGAGATATCCTGGCCAACCTCCACCAGGCCATCTGGGGACTCCGTCACTATGGCCCTAGTCTAGACTGACCCTGCTTCCAAGAGCCTGAAGGGAGGGACAGAAGGGAGTGCAGTGTGGGTGGCTTCTGGAAGGGCTTTCCAGACAGAAAGCCCAATAGGAACAAAGGCAGGGAAGTCCTGGACCCTCAAAGGGCTCATATCTCTTTCTAGACCCAGAACTTCTAGAGTGGGGCCAATGAGTGCTGAGAGGGGCTAGTGACAAAGTCAGAAAGAGCAGTCTCCACAGAGCTCAGGGTGAGGTCCCAAGCACTGCTGGGGTCAGAGGAGGCCTGAGGGAGAAGGCAGAGGACCAGGGTGTCACCCTGAAGCAGAGGCTGGGTGGCCGGGGATTTAACTCAGTGGTTCTGCCACCTGCCTTGCAAGACCAAGCGCCCGAGTTCAATCCCTGGTACCAAAAAAAAAAAAAAAAAAAAAAAAA